GCTCCGGGACGTCCGGACGTTGCCATGCTACAGCTTAGTTTGTCCTTTTTTTTTTTTTTTTTTTTGAGGAAACTTCAGGCTTGGGTGACCTGCTTAGCAAGTGGGTAAGAGCATCCTCGCTAAGCAGGGCCCTGTGTGTGATGGTTCCATCCATTGGTCGGGAGCTGCCCCTGCTGGGAACCGGGCCCAGCGTCACATTTTTACATTGTGTCCTCCTTTTCGTAGCTCTACCACCTCCGATGCGCTGGATATAACATGTCCTTAATAAGTTATGACTTGTGCTTTGTATGGTGGTCACGGCCAGTCACCGCTGGGCCGCTGGTGACTCGCCCGGGCAGAGCACCGGGCCCAGTCAACGCTGGACCACTGGTAACTCGCCCGGGCAGAGCGCTGGGCCCAGTGGAACTAGAACTGGAACTTGGTGCTCAGGACCACTGGTAACTCGCCCAGGCAGAGCACCGGGCCCAGTGGAACTGGAACTGGAACTGGAACTGGAACTTGGTGCTCAGGAGTCAGGACCACTGGTAACTCGCCTGGGCAGAGCACCGGGCCCAGTGAAACTGGAACTGGAACTGGAACGTGGTGCTCAGGACCACCCGTAACTCGCCTGGGCAGAGCAACGGGCCCAGGGGAACTGGAACTGGAACTGGAACTGGAACGGGAACTGGAACTTGGTGCTCAGGACCTGCTGCAGGCGGTCCCGACACACCGAATGCACACATCCTAACAGACCAGACCTTTCAGGTGGACGTCTCTCTCTCAGGTTCAGTTCTCTGTCAGTGCCATCCATACATGGCTCTATTACCATGCCTATCAGCTATCAGGGGTTGAAACCCTCAATTTCACCATACTTCCAGAGGCCTAAAAATAAAAACTGTCGGTGCAGACCGGGTCCTGTCACAACATAAGCTCAATAAGGATTCAGGAAGCTGAACAGGTCAATGCCACAGCCGAGATGGAGGACTTACACAAGGGCTTAAAAAAAAAAGAAACGGAGAACAAGACTCAAGATTCTGACATATATTAATCTACTATGTCAATAACTGCCATAATAAACTCGAATTACCGTCCAGTAACTGTTCGAACTCCACTGGAAGAAGATCAATGGAATATACTAGAATTCTGAATGACCTAGTACCTTCCTGAAGCTCCGGGGAATACAACGTACGGTCATTATAGCTGTACTAAGAGTGAAAGATGCCCCCCAAAACAGCTATAATGACCGTACGGTGTGTTCGGTGAGGGGGGAAAGAAGGTAGGGCTATATGTCAAGGACATCGCGCTTTCAAAAAAAGGCAAAAAGGGGGAAAAAAAGAAAAAGAGGAAGAAGTCTAAGAAGATGAACAGCACGACCGTGACACATACGCAGCTTGCTCATCCGACTGGCCCTCGCGAGAACCCAACAAACGGCCTCAGCTGCCTCCAGTGCAGTAACTCTCGAAATGTGCAAAACCAGAGTGAATCTTCCGCTCGAACATGGAAAGATACACGGCGGCCTTGATTTTTGTACTCTCGAAATGTGCAAAACGAGAGTGAAAAAATCATCCGCTCGAACATGGAAAGATACACGGCGGCCATGATTTTCGTGTTTTGTGCATGCAGAGAGTACTCAGAGCAGTGGAGCGACGCCCAACAAAAAATGTACCACTACTCTATAGGTTTCCACTTGTCAACGTTCCAGTATAATTACCTCGCGATAGAAAACGAGAAAATACATCATTCTATAAATTCGAAAAAAGAAGAAGAGGAACTTCAAGAAGAAGCAGAAGAAGAAAATGGTAACATACATCATTCGACTTTTTTTTTTTTTTTTTTAACCACATGCACAAAATCTTGTCACAGTCGTGGCCTGGGCTTTGCACAGCTGTGCCGGAGAGCCTTGGTCAGCCTTATTAGAGCTGCGGCGAACTTTGTGAGGGACGCCGGGCCCGGTTCTCGGCAGAGCTTTATAAATATCGCTCCGTAAATTAAAAAAAAAAAAAAAAAAAAAAAAAACAATGCCCTAGCGGAGGATTGAGTCTCATTTTGCACACTTGGAGAGAGTTACTGTGGTGGAGCGAGACCCAATCCCAAAAAGAGAAGAGAGAAAGGAAAAAAAACACAATCTGACAAATGGACAGGGAAGGGAAAAAAAAAAAAAAAAAAAAAAAGAAGAGAGTGAAGGAAGGAGAAGAGGGGAGCAGATAAGGTGGTTCTATACAACAGGCACGGTCATGATAGCTACGGCTATGGCTATGGCTACGGCTACGGCTACGGCTACGGCTATGGCTATGGCTATGCCCGACTGTTACGACTGCAGTGCGTACTTCTTCTTATATTTCAAACTCATACGATTTCGACTTTTCACATTCAGACTGGCTCGTTAGTTATTAAAAAAAAAA